GTTAAAGCTACATTTTTCCTTGGATCTCAGAAAGATCTTTATTTTCTAGGTTGAGAGAGATAGAAGAGAGGTTACATGAGTTAAAGGCATCTACCATATCAAAACCACCTGCCTTAAAATTTAAGGTATGTACGTTCAAGAGGTTTTTACTTGCTGTAGAAATACACCTGGAATATGACATTCTACTTCTTCCTTTTTTTCCCATGTCCCTAGACGTGATGTTGGTAGAATCATTTTAATGTATTGGTTGAAGTGTGCATACATGTGTGTAAACATGTTACTGTATTCATGTATTACTACTTATTAGAAATATATATGATTATATGTAAATCTATAACCCTGTGCATAGATTAATATATTACAGACACACAGGTACAACTGTGTGCGAAGGGAAAAGCTGTTTGGCAAATTACATTAATCACATATCTTAAACAATTTCACTTCTACTTTGTTGACTAATCCACTTTCCTTGGGGACTACTTCTAACATGTCACATCGCTGAGCAAATCTGATTGAATTTCCTCCAGCAGTGGATTTGCAAATCCAAATTACACTGGTTTGACAGTTAGCACAAGTCACTTTTAGTCTCATAAAATAGGTGGCTTGCTAATCAGCTGTACAAATTGCTACGGTTTCCTATTATTGGGAAAATGGCATTTTTTAGCTTGTCGGTGGGATGTGCGACACTTTCTAGTTGCTGGACTTTGTCCTGAGATATAAAACCATAAAAATGTGACGTGATAGACGAAAAGAGACTGTTGTTTCTTAACTTGCCATTTTTCTTTCCTTCTGAGTTCAGAAGGACTCCTAGAAGCAAAGGTCAATCTTGAGCTATAAAAAAGAGGAAACTAACCATAATTAAATTTGTCATAGCGTTCTTCTTTTCATCACTGCTTAAAAGCATGTATCATGCTATTATCTCTGCTGTCAAGGAAGCTGGAGTCAGGCTGATACTCCTCCAGCTCTGTGAAAGATTATTCTTCACTCAGTTGTGTTTAAACTGAATATTTTTTGAACAGATGCCTTTTAGAGGGAGCAGGAGAGGAGGGGAAAAGAAGGAGGAAAGAAGACTGTATCAATCCAAATTAGTGCTAGGTAGTTTTCCACTGCAGTACATCCCTTTCCTTACCCTTCCTGAAAGGAAAATGTTTTTCTGTTATGCTTTACTCCCATTTCTTGAGTACCAAGCATGAGACAGAGCTCTGGAAAGAAAGATGCTTCCCATGAATGTGATGACAAAGTGCTTCTGCCAAGGGAGGGTTTCAGCAGGTTGTTGTTGAAAGACAGTTGCACATCAGCAAGCCAGTCCAGCTTACTGAGGGTGACTGGCTTGTTGAAAGAGAAGAAACTGCTTGGTAGGTACCAACTGCCTGCACCTCAGCTCTTCCTGGCAGACCAGAGCTCTGCTTCGATCATGAGTTGCTATTCACCGCAAACGCTTGATCCACAAGTGACTTTGGCCTGTGTGATGCAGGGCACCAGAGTCTGCGGGCACTGGTCTCCTTAAGCTGCATTACACAATGGAATGGGCACGCGCAGCTGTAACGCAGAAGGCTAGCCACCACGGGTGTGTTGCCTCCTTTATGGACTGATATGAATTAAGCTGCCCAAGATGAGACAGTCTGTAGTCCTACATTAAGCAGAGTCAAGCTTGCTTCGCGTTGAGCAAGCACAAAGGTAGATTTTGGCAAGACAAGTGCCAGAGTAAATTCAGCAGCTAATTTAGCTGCTGTTTAATATTAGAGGAAATGGTCTGTGTGGTTGACTGACCCTTTGGGGAGGAAAAAAACACCAAAACTGAAGATATGGGGTGTCCTCTAATAATATATTGGACAAGCCACCAGAATGGGAACTTGAGGGTGAGGTATCTTTGTCTCTCTTCCTCTACATCTCCTCAGATGGCACAATTGTAGGAGCTCCTAAATCAGTAGGAGCTGTGTGGGTTAAAGCAAAGCCAACACCCCCTTGTAAATGTAAAGGTGAGAAGCTCAGCCTTCCCCACCAGCCATGTGAGAGGAGTCATGCGGAAGGGGCTGGAGAACAGGACAGCGATACATACATCTTCCTGGTGCATGCAGGTAACGGTGTTGTGGGATGGTTTTCAGTCACAGTGGGGAAGAGGAGGGCAGGACATACCGCAGTCACTCCCTAGTACTGAAAAAGAAACTCATTTAAGCCTGGACTTGTCAATGTGCCGGCCCAAAGCACTTCAGGATTCCTCAGCACTTCTCATTCACCCAGGGTTGGAGAAACTTCTCCGGAAGAAGCCCCGGCTTGTATTTGACTTTGTGGTTTCTATGTAGCATCATCTGACAGTGATAATAACAACTATCACAAATTATTCATAAGATACTAGTGATTTATCACATGTTTAAAAAACTGTGGGAGCTTAATGCAACGCCGATGTGTCAGCATTATCTGAGAGGAGGAAGCCTTTACGCTGAATGCAGAAATGCGCCGGAGCGGTACAGTTAAATTCCCTGTGTGATAGCGGTATAGGTCCCTGCTCCCTATGTCAGCGGAGGCTGCAGACCGTTCCTGGGTGCAGGAACGGGTAGAGGCTGCTGCCAAGGTCTGTATTTCCTCACTCTGGAGGGATGTTTGGGATCCTCCAGGCTGAAAGGCAGCACAGAAACGTAAATTGTAATCTCCTCCTGTGTCTTCTGTTTTAACATCACCACTAAACAGGTTCATTTGTCCCCCTTGCTTACATATGCACGAAAGAGCTGTGTTGCTTCACTTCTGTTGCCTCATTCAGCTTTCTTTTTTTTGAATTCTGAAAATACTGCCATTGAACAGATGACTACTTGGCTCAGCTTCTCCTTAAAAAGAAAGAAATTCATTAAGTCTTCTGTTCATGAATCATACCCCAGAGAAAAGTGCTATCCTGAAAGGTCGTGTTCTTAAACATTTCTTCTCTGTTGTTAAACATTTACAGGAGTATTAGGTGAAGTGCCCTGCTCCTGCTTCTAGGAGAAACACCAGAATTAATAAATGTTTTCTAGAAAGACTGTAGTCCCCTGTTCCCAGTAGGTTTTGTGGCATAGCAGTCTTCAGCCACTTTGCAACAGCGCCGAGAGTCTGCAGTCTAAAGGACTTTATTTTGAAAATTTAGATTTTTAGTGTTTGTTCTTTGGTATGGGTCTGGTGCCACCCAATAAGGTACCCACCAATTGGTACTTTGTAAGCATTTCCAGCGCTGGAAGACCATGTTGAAAGGCTTGCACTTGTAAAGAAACACACAGCAAAGAACAGTGTCCTCCAAGAAGAAAGCCTGCATCTGTAGACACTGTTAATCCCGTGTTTACCAATAAAAACAATGGAACAAAAGCCATGCACCATGTAACCACCAGAACTATTTCGCTTTTGAGTTTTTTGCCCAGTCTGTAGTGGTTCCGGTGAGTTCATGACAACATCTTTTAAGCATCTGCTAGCAAGTGTAAGCTGGCAGTTGCTTTCTGGTTTCTTTCTAAAGCAGAACGACTGTAATTGTGTTCTCCAGGCGCTCAGTACGGGAATATCGGATGGACAGGACCGAAGGTTACTTATTCAGTTTAAGGGGTTGCACTGTGAATATCTGTTTCTTTTGTACTTGAAGATGAGAAAGCTTTTTGTCCAAACTGCAAAAACCTGAGGGTCTCTGTAAAGCTCGATTGTAAGAAAGGAGAGCAGCTAACAGTATGGATGACAGAGCAGTGCTTCGCAGCATGAGACATTGAATAGCTTTGCTGAAGACCTAGATTTCTTTTTTCCATTGAATTGGGACTTGTGCATTCTTTTGGAAAGAAGAGGTGGGGGTGCCAGTGCCAAGTCAGAGGAGGAGGAATGTTTTGTGCAGCGCCAGAATCTGATAGATGAGAAGGACCATTATTTCTACGCCCTCGCTCTACGCGCTAACATATAGCGAAGGCACGTGGGAATCCCAGCATCCTCCACGTGCACT